CATGTAATACTAAATAATATACTCTAAAAGTTAGCAGCACATGCATGTTTTATTTACCTGTAACTATCAGTTCTACTTCACTTGTTGGCATCGAATGTAAATAGCCAGAGAGTAAGAACAGGAGGCATCCATATGTACCAGAATCAACCATGGTTACATTTTTGATGACCAAAGTAGCTTTATCCTCCACACTCACTCGTACTGTAGGTGTTCGTAAACGAGCTGGACAGGTGCGATCTATCCTAAACTTACGCCCATCAAATGCGTCGGCATATCCAATCATAGAACTGAGGCTATGAAAATACCATCTTGGTGATCGAGAATCAAACTCTGTGTTGATATTATCGACATGGTATTCCCATGTAAACTTCGCAGTTTCACCTTTCACTACGTACAGTTTATTGGCAGGAACGTTGGTGAATCGAGCCACTGCATTTACAGAAAAAATGTAGGTGTAATCATGCATTCGTTTTTAAAAAAATACATTTTATTTCCTGTTTGTATTCAATCAGTAATGCATAGACAAATGACGTCAGAATATGATGAGTTATAATCTATAATAACATACTACGAAGTCTGAAAAGAGTATACAATCGCTACACTCGACCACTTGCCATTTCGCTGCTAGAGAAGTCACAGCGTACCATACAAACGCATATTGATTTCATTATATGCCTGTGACAATTTATCAACAATCATAGACAAAATGTGTTGGCACGGTTATGAGTACCTTTTATTTGAGATCCTTTGTGTTGGAATTGGATTCATAAAGGTGTGAACTGGAAAATCATCTCTCTGGCGATACTAAAGGTACTGATCAGATTTCGCTGCACCACTGTTTGGAGGGGGAGGGGAGAAGAATTCTCTTGTATAAATAGGCATGAAAAGTCAAAAAAAGAAAAAAAACACGCGAGACAATAATATTGTCAATGATTGTATCTTTATTTTTTGGCATTGAACTGGAAAGGCCACTACAGTCTGAAAACATAAGCATCCGAAAATCAAAACCCGCGAAACCGATAACCTAAACACAAATCCAAACAAAAGTCCAAACCCAAATCAAAAAGCAAATAAAACAAACAATTGATAGCATGATGTACCTTCAACAATTAGTTGAGCTTGACTTGTTGGCATCGAGATTGGAAGACCACTGGATAAAACCAGTCTGCATCCATATGTACCAGAATCAGCCAAAGTTACATTTGTGATGACCAAAGTAGCTTTACCCTCCACACTCACTCGTATTGTAGGTGTTAGTAATCGAGCTGGACAAGTACTTGTATCAATGATGAATTTCCAATTAAGAAATGCGTCGCCATACCCAATCACATAACTGTCATTATGGTAATACCATCTTGGTGATTGTGAATCGAACTCTATGTTAATATTGTCAACATGGTAGTCCCATGTAAACTTAGCAGTATGTCCTTTCAGGACATATAATTTGCTGCCAGGCTGCTTGGTGAATCGAACTGCTGCGTCTGTAGAAAGAGAAAGAAGAGGAAGAATAGCTATCGACGAGTACTGTCCTACAATTTTCCTAAAAATAACGATATATAGCTGGTGGATATAGTGATATATTTTACCGAAAAACAACTGAAGAGGCGAACGACGACTTTGACAAAGACTTCAACATGTACTACATGTTATTTGATTTGCGATCGAAGACGACTGCTCTATTTTGACGCATGGATGACCCGGAAATAAGTATGAAAAAGTAATTAAAAAATGCCTTTTTAGTTAAAGGCTTATTGGTCGCTACCCCTAACGATTGAATCTTTATTTTGGAATGAAATCCACAACATAGGCTGTAGGTGTCCGTAAAAATATCACACAAACACTGCAAAGAAGGACATGATGAATAATTAGAGCTTTAACGTTTTTAAGATACCTTCAAATCCATCACTTCTCTGTTTATAAAATAGAACGGTTAATATATTCATATAACTAAGTTTCTATTAAATGTGTGAATTATAGCGATCATGATCAAAATGGTTTCGAGGTAGTACAGATATATACGTTAAAAGTGCATAAAACCGACCTGAAGATTTAACTAGCAGGAAGAGAACTAAACAACTGTACATTCCAGCATGCAATCCACGAGTCATTATTGATATTACAATAAACTGGATATTGACAGGGCACAGCTACGTAAAGAAATCAAATCTTAGAGTGCAGTAAAAAATTAGTTCATTATTCGGATGAATGGACGAGTTGAATCAGCAGCATTGAAGCTAATATGATAACGAAATAGCAGCTTTCTGTTTACCAGCAGTCGGGAGTTTGACCCCATATTAAGCCTCAGTCATTTTGTGACTAGCTTGTGACTGACTTGTTTACTATAATGCATGTCTCCCGCGATGTCACGCTTTCTTTGTTGAAGCGAAAACGTCCTGGACAAAATAAGTATTAGTTCGGGTTTGGATGACATTGCACAATAAGAAAATATAGGTAGATAGGATAGCACGGTCGATATACAGTGTATACGATAGACAATGAACTTATAAGTGTGCATCGCAACCTTGAAGTTTTGACTCGTTAGGGGTTTTAACATCATTTCGGCCTTTTTAATCAGCAGTTATGCATCTCCGTAATCATCACCCTCCCCCACCTTATCTTCGAAACCACTGTCTCTATAATCGTGAATTGTTGATACAATGTTTGCCTATATGTGATTTTACAATAACGATTCTTAATATAAATACATTTTAATAAACCTTCTTCATCGCCATAGATAATATTGCATAGCCTGCGTAGCGGCCCTAAGGGGATTGGGGAGTGCCGGCCGAGCGGGGAATCCTTAGGGCCGCTACGCAGGCTAATATTGCAATACTATAGCATTATCATCTCATTATCATCGAAATGACTTGGCAACAATACTTTCCCCCCCTTGTCACTGAGGTCATATGCTAGAAAATGCTCAAACTAAAACATTGTTATTATCATAACCAGTTAAATCACAGGACGCCAAATCTCAGTATCTAAATCATATTGTGAATTATTCTTTGCTCTATAATTTTTTTAAACATAAATAAAAATAAAAAATAACTTCATGCATTATTTATTGTGATGATGTTAACTTCTGGTAGCGATGCCAAGCACATTTGCTTGATAATGTTTAGATTAGTTCAATTGTTAGTTGGCCCCTCACAACCAGTGGTGAGGTGCATGAGGAATGAATTGACTATTTCTCTCTCTTCCAGGAGCTTCCACAGTTAAACAAGTCAATGGAGTAAACAATCACCTCTGTTAAGATCTTGGACAGAAAATTTAGGGAATATTTTAACGTTTTCAACTAATTGAGTCCATTAATGCTTGGACGCACTTCATCA